ATATATATATATATATATATATATATATATATATATATATATATTTATGAGAAGTTATATCTGTTGCCTCTCTGCAAGAAGGTTGCTGGTTCGAGTCCTGGCTGGGCCAATTGCCATTTCTTTGTAAACATTGCAGGTTATTGCATGGGTTTCCTCTGGGTTCTTTGGTTTCCCCCAAAGACATCTTCTTAATGTTTTATATTTTAATATGACCATTTACATCCATCACATATTAAACACCACATATATTGGAGTGAACAACGTTGTATGTAAAAAATAAAAACAACCACCACAAAAACAAAAAACAGAATAATCTTTCATTCCAGGCTTTAATGAGACATCCATCTACAGCCAAGTCCTTATTTTGAAAGCTGAAGGGCTGTCTCATTGTATTTTTTCCTGTAATGTCAGTATCTGTTAGTAAAATAATTGCTGATGATATACAGTAAATAAGGTGTTACTGAATTTCAGAAAAATAAGTGCCATGTAATTAGGAAAAATCTTATATTAGGCAATCAGGATGAATTGAAAGTTAGCACAGATGCCTCGCAGCAAAAATGTCACTCGTTTGAGTCCCAGCTAGCCTTTCTGTGCAGTTTGTATACGTAGTCATAAACTGTCATATGTAGTATGACAGATGCATTGTTTTTGTTTTGGTTTTATTTAAATTTTGGAATATGAATAATTTGTTATTATAACTATATGTATTTATATATTTCTATAAATTATAATTTTCCTTTGCTAGCCAAATGCTTCAACTCTGTCATCCAGAGTTTGTCTCCAAGTTTTATGTGCATTTATTTAAAACGTTTATTTTCTTTAGTGAGAAGAACACAATTATGACCATTTTTTTTTAATCAAATGTGAGAGAAGATATATGATAAATTATATATAACGTTACATTATTCAATTAAACATCCCAAACATGAAAATGTTTCTGGGCCTTTTTTTATGCAATTTTCAATGAAAGATAGTATGGTTATTAATAAATTCTGCTTTTACAATAAAATAAGTTTTTGTTCCCACAAAATTTGTCTAACAAATTTATTTTTTATTAATTCAATAAATGTAATCATTTGAGTTAACCTTATTTTCTATTTATATATATATTGTATATATGTTTCTATTTATATATATATATTGTATTTCGGCACTGGTGGGAGGCTTAGTACACTGCTACGAGTGTGATATTGCTTTTATAAAACAGTTTGATGGCATAATTGTGTATATAAAAACAAAATCAAACATGGAGAGTCTCAAAATCCCTTTTGTATGAGGAACTACTTTCTTCCGGATTCAAATCATAAGCTGACAGTTAAACATTTGAGTGTGCATCTTTTAAAATTTAGATCTGTAATGTCTGCTTTTTGGTGGCTGTATCTGGGCGGAGTAATACACAAAGGGTAAAGAGGCTGTAGGAGTTCTAATATTGCAGAATATCGCACGACTATCAGCCAATCAGATTTGTGAACCATACAGAGCTGCTGTATATATATATATA